ATAAATCAGTTTTTATACATTGCTGTGAATAGGCATCATGGACTTTTGCAGAGTATCATGGGTAAGATACAGTATTTTCTCCGAAATCTAGATTTAGAAATACCAAAAGTGTCACTAGATTGTGTGAAACCCATGAATCAGGTGCAATACTTAATTATTTCTAGATAATAAGATGAAGACAGATTTTTCAAATGCATCAGGGACACATCATATCTTAACTGAAAGGGACGAGTCTGGACACATCCTACTGGCCTACTTCAGACGGCACTTTGTGGAACAGAGTGGCAAGCATGAGGGAGCTTTTTTCTTGGAACAGATCCCAGGATGTCTGAAAACCCTGGTGAAATCGCCAGTTGCCACAAGGTTAAATAAACTGGGTCATTTAGTTTGGACAGACACTGGTATTTTAAATAACCCCATCTGATAATACCTCTTGGTCTATATACGTTCATTCTAACTCCATTCACACCAAGCACAAAGCAGTGGGTCAAATTACATAAATACATTTGTTTACTGCGAAGACCTCGCCAACTAGAAAAGTCATCAGCACAAATCCTCAGCAAAGACCACGAGAACCATGCAAGCCCTCTGCACGGACCCAGTGGCCAGCTTTGACTCCGTCACCTTCACTATGTTCTGAGTGGTGCCAGTCCACAGTCTGACTTCTATTGCAGTCTCGAGCTAAACCACACCATGTTGGTTCGTCTGGCCTAGGAGAACTGACCCCCCGACTAAACTTGGTTTCTCCCAAGGATTTTTCAAGGATGGAGTTTAGGTTCCTTGCCACTGTAGCCTTTGGCTTGCTTAGTTGAGTACACTTAATATTTGACATTATTGTAGACTTGATTGCACAGACACTATTGGATGAAAATGAACTGAGCTGCATGTTGGCGTCACTAAATTAACGATGAACTGACTTAAACCTGACTTTGGAAAATTGACTATTTACTATTGTCCTCTTTTTAGAGCTGCTTTATAGCAGAACTGAATTTTTTGTTTGTATTATTGAAAAATTATTTTCCTGTTTAACACTGTAAAGCTGCTTTGGCACAATCTTGGCAATAATATTGTAAAGCGGTATATAAATAAAGGTGACTTGACTGGGTTGACTCGGTGTTACCAAAATATATATATATTTATTATTCCAAGAAGAGCTGAATATAACATTTTAGATAAGCCATACTGTTTTAAAATAATTAGTTAAATTACCTGTAACCAATATACAGTTTGGGTACCAATTCTTTATAATATTTTCTTTCATGTTCTGCAAATAAACAAACAAATGAATACAGGTTTGAAATGACATTAGAATGAGTAAATTATGACAATCATTTACGTTTACATTTTTGGGTGAACTATACTTTTAACTATATTTTCATTAAAAAAATTAAGGTTATAATTAAAAATAGTGTGTATATTTTAGTAAAGAAATCGTGGTTCAGTGTTGTATAGAAAATATTGAGAACTAATAAAACCAAGAGATTATGTTTTCCTCATATTTTTTAAGGAAACTTAAGCAGTTTTTAGGCTTGAATTGAGGAACTGATTAAACTGAAAAAAAAATTAAAGAAAGGAAGGCTACCTGTTTATTTTAAGAGAATTAGCTCAATGTTGCCGTTTTATTTTGGTGGTGATTGTTAATTCCCAGCATGCTTTGCATATGGCTGGATATGGAGAGTAAATATTGAAATGAAATATTGCTACTTCATGTGTTTTTAAGTAAAGGGAAACATCTATTAATGTTTAATGTAGGGCTGTGCAATTAAGCTCATGCGATTGTCATGCGCATCTCATCAGTAAAGCGGTGATTAGTAGTAAATCTCCATCACCTGCTTTCAGATGGCGAGGCATTTACTACACAAAGCCTTAATTCACTGACAATTAGGCAATATCGCGTTCATTATCGCAGGCGATTCAATCTGCATAATGAACGCAATATTGCCTAATTGTCAGTGAACTATGGCTCTGTGTATTAAATGCTGCTCCATCTGAAAGCAGGTGATGGAGATTTACTACTAATCACAGAACCGGCTTTACTGACGAGATGCGTATGACAATCGCATTCGATTAATTGCACAGCTCTAGTTTAATGTTCAGTTATGTTTGACATTTGAAAGAGTTTCTGTTGTGTTAAAGTTTCTATCGTTACCACTCTCCAGAAGAGTAGAGCTTATGGTTATGGATAACTGCATACCACTATGAGGCATGATGATTTGTTCAATCAGCAATAGCTTTGCTAATGCTAGTGCAGTAAAGTTTTTTTCCTATTTGAATTATTTGGCTGTATACAGTCTTTTAATTGAAACAGGCTTTACTCAAAATCATGGACTTTTGAGAATCAATGTAAAATAAATGAGCACATTTCACTAATAATATTAAAATCATTGCGTCATAGATTAAATAATTTAGAAGATTTTGCATGATTTATTCTGGGAGATTCCATTTTTTAAAAATCAATCCTTAAAAACTACTCAAAATTTTACCTGTAATATTGTTGCCATATTTTTTTAAGTAGATACCTCATACCATTTTTTGAATCCATTTCTATATTTTGCAAATCACAAATAACTGTCCTAACTAATAATACATGGCTATAACTTGAATAGCCTGATATGTTTCTGCCATACTGTTCACCTGTCATTCAGCCTCAGCAAAAACAGTGTGTGACATAATTATTCAGAAAAACTCAGAAAAAAGGGGTGGTTGATTATGATTTCACTTTTTGAACTTTAGTTAGTGTGTAATGTTACTGTTAGAGCATAAATAACGTCTGCAAAGTTACGACGCTCAGAGTTCAATGCAAAGGGAGATATTTTCTTTTAAAGAAATTGCTGTTTAAGGACTACAAAAAACGTCTGGTAGGGACTACAACGAGCTTCATCCTGGGTTTGTGACATCACAAAACCCGATGTTTACATAAACCCCGCTCCCGGGAACACGCAACTACCCGTAATGGCAAAGACAGGGGCGTGACGTTTCCAGACAACGTGCAGTAGCGAATCACAAACACACTGAGCCCGCTAACCAATCAGAGCCCATTGCGTATTTCTGAGGGAGGGGCTTCATAGAACCAGGAACTCAACAGACCATTTTGACGAGAATGGAAACTACGGTGTGAATAAAGGTAAAATATGTGAAAATAATGCTTTTTTTTTTAAACGAAGCATGAACACACGTTACACTGCATCCCATAAACACAATCAAGCTTTCGAAAAAAGCTGATCAACCACCCCTTTACTTAAGAACAAGAGGGAATATCAGGTCACTTCTCAGAAAGTTCTAAGATCAATGAACACTAAACAGCATCACCTAGTAATTCTTATTCATTATGGAACAGTGTTCTGTTTTGCAAACAGAAGGAAAAATCTTGCTTTGTCAGTGCGATGACATAGAATCTTTTATTGAATAATAATTAAAAATATATATTTTATTGTATTTACTTATTTTTAATAAATCTTTTAGTACAAATAAATGAATTTTTGGCTTTATTTATTTATTTTAGTTTCACCTTTTTATTATTAATATTATTGTTCATTCAGGCCAGTCTAACATTTTAATATTGATGAGCAAATATTTTCCCAAGAGTGTTTATTTTAGTTTAAGTTATGGATCAGTCTCATATCACAAGTGGGATTCTGTTCTCTGAAATTTGCTGAAATGTTCTAGAATAACAAACCCTGCTGAATGTGCCCCAGGTGCGTTTGTAATGAGATGGAGTTGCACGCCTGTCACTGATGTAGGCCATATGTGAAGCGCTCTGACAGGTCCAGCAGAGGTGAACCGACTGCACAGTGGAGAACGTTCAACATGCTTTATGCTCACCAGTGAGTGTGTCCCCTGTGGGTCTATGTCAGTACTTGTTAGTAAAATGCAAAACTTTGTGTGAAAGATAACAAAGTGACAACTACTCATAAATATCCCTGTCAGTATATTCAAAAGCAGGTAGTGATCTCTGTTTTCTGTAGAAAATGTGATTTGTAGCAAAACGATTGTATAATAGAACATGCCTCTCCTTTGCTGAATGATAGGAGACATTGTGACTAGTCAGCAGACTGAATTGGGAAGTGTTGCAAGCCAGTGAAATACCACGGTCTGGCCCCGGAGTATTTGTCTCACCTTTTAATAGCCTACCTTATTCTCCAAATCGAAGTCTTCGCTCTTCTCAGCAGGGTCTGTTGGGTGTCCCTCAAACGTTACGTTACGGGTATTTAAGTTTACGTTCCATGGGTGCCAGAGCTTTTTCTATATCTGCTTCCAGGTTGTGGAACCTACTTCCAGTTGAAATTTGGAAGCACAGTCTCTTTGCGTTTTTAAAACGCATTTAAAAACATATATTTTTAAGCAAGCTTATTGTTGATTGTGATAATCATTGCTGTTTCTGTTTATTTTATCTTCCTGTGCTCTTTTGTTTATTCTGCATTCCTGTTTTAATATTACATGTACGGTATACTCTTACATTGTAAAGCGCTTTGAGAAGCTCCCTTAAAGGTGCTATAGAAAATAGTCATTGTTGTTATTATTATACTTTCTGCGTATTACATTAAGTTAAACCATCACTATTCAAAAATAAAACCCACAAATAAAATAAACAAACGTAGAGTCAGAGTGAAATTAAAATCCCTTGTAATATTTTGTTTATCCTCGTTTTCATATTTTGATGACAACAATTTAAATATTTACATTCCTTTAATTTATTTTGTTCTGGCACTGTACATATTTACTGTCATGTATTCCTTAAGAGAAAGTCACTGATTACATGGAAATAAATTCATCGACGGCAATGTTTACCTTATGTGTGTTATTAATAGCATTTACTTAATCACAGTATTGTGAACCCACAGTAGCTCATAGCTAAATTTCAACATTCATCAATGCTTAGAACACACTAGTGGCCGTGTTAGCAAACACAGCCGTTTGCACACACGTCCCACTCCATCATTTGCGCAATTTCAACCTTTGAGCGAAATTTCAGCCTTCTGACCCAACACGCGCTGTGGACTGTCCGCGCGCTCCAGCGCGAGCTGTAGGCAGAATCGCTCGCGCTCTACTTTATGAATGGATGGGAGTGGCGCTGTAGTCACGCTGTTAATAGGCGCTGGCGTTCGTCAGTGGACTTGACAGGACAGCAAGTGGACAGCATACGACAGCAGCCAGAGCGGGCATTAGGGGCAAAAGGCGACTCGAGGCGATAGGGTGAGCACGCGACTGTGACAGACAGGGGCAGCTCACATGTTACAGGGTGGGAGGATGGGTTAGGGGAGACAAAGGAATCGCAGGCGTGTAGTTTTTTGACCGCCCATAGACAACTTGGACACATTTGCGGACTGCATAATAAAAAGTTACATTCCCTGTTATCGCGCTGATGGTCTCACATGATTCACACCGTGACTTTTTGATTCGCGCGATTCATTTTACCCCCAAACCAGCTGAGAGACCTGCTTTGTTTGGTCATTTTTGGGGGGGTTTGTGGTATACGTTGCTATATCTGGATATCCCAAACTGCATTCCTTCATAGTTGTGGCAAAGCAGAGAGATAATTGTACCAATCTCTTTTCAAAGGCGTGACAGAAGCAAAAGGGCGAGACAGAAAACTCGCATCAGCACCACGCGAGCACACTTCGTCTGCTCTGTTTGGAAGAGACTCCGAGCCGAAGCCCGTCTTTACAGGATCTCAGAACTATTGGTCTTCATCTGCTGTCTCTCCCAAGAGTTTTGAGCTGTCCCAACTCAATGACTAACTTATTTTTCTTTTATCTTTATGGAAGAAGGACACAAAACCGTATGGTTTTGTAAGTAGAAGGCAGTGAGCACTTTACTGACGCGCGTAACCCGACAGATTCACGAGGCGAAATCACATCAAAGGTAAGTGTTTTTTTAAAGAAACTTTAAGTTTGAAATATTATTTAATGTTTTATTGTCTGTATTTAGTGTGATTGACTGTTTTAGCCCATATGTGCATTCGTTTGAGTTTTTCTCAGTTTTTAAAACGCAATTCCTTCTTTTCTTAAGCTCACCTTAGTTCGCCTTGAAACATTGCTACACACTAAAATAGTAATACAAATTCAGTTTAATCGTTGCCTTAAATTTTAAATCAAAGTGGTGCCAGTGACAACTTGTGATTGCAGTTATAACCTACTGTTCATTGCACTTTTCGTTCTTCAAAAAGTCGTTCTTCACCGAAAAAAGTAGATTTGAAATTCTGAAAACACCATTTTTTTAATAGAAATTATGTTAATGAGTAGAATCAAAATGCTGTTAGCATAACGGTTAAAACATCCTTTTACAAAAAAAAAAATTCATTTTAGCTATTTTTAACATTTTAGCAATTTCTTCGTAGGCTTACCGTCCACTAGGAGGACTATTAATCTGTTGTCATGCTTTGGCTGTGTCTTAAAACCTATTTGAATGCCTTTGTAGAACACATTCATTAGGTGTATTCTTGTTAAAAATATTGCAGGTGCACATGATGCCCACGAATGCTGTCTATATAGGCAGCTCAGTATGTTTTGCGATACAGCCAGTGTTTGTTTTATAAACGCACGCACAACAAATCTGTGAGTGTCACTGGTGTAAATGACATGGGTTCAGGATTCCATTACACCCAGGATGTTCAACCAGGGATCCCTAAAGATACTCAAGGGGCGTTAGTGGGTCATGGCATTATGACAGCCCAACCATATCAATTTTTTTTTACTTTCCAACAATCTGTTAAATGTTATACTTTAGATAATGTTTTTAATCATTACAAAAGTTTTGTTAATCCTATGAATCCATGGGTTAGGTAAGAGTCTGGCTGAAAGATCCTGGCCCTGCTAAGATTGAAAACTCCTGCGCTTCAGCAACACGTAATGCACGTTTACAGTTACAGTAAACTCAGTCCTTCCCTTCATAATTGATGTGCATGGCACTTTGTAATGAACTCATATTGGTTCCACATTTCTCCCCGTAAATTTTGAGGAATTCGCACAGCTGAGTAAACACTGACTGTCTGGTCATAATCCACACCACACCCTACTGCTGTATTGTATTAAAAATGAATCAGAGCATTCTAAAGCAAGAATAAATCAATGATACATATTAATAGTGTTTGTGTACGAAACACCCATCAACTGTATTTACATTTCAATAATAAGACCAGTTACAGAAGGACATTCTGTGTTATTTCACTTTGATTTGTGGATTAATCAATAACTTTTTATGCTATGATGCATGTCTATGAGTTAATGGAACTTGCCGTGACAAATGTTTAAACTCAGATTCATATCTATAGGTTTAAGGCTGATTGTGTTATTTGGACAATGCAAACCTGACAAACAATGAGAACAGTGAATGCATAATTACTAGCAGTTAAAGACAGTTAAGGAACACAATTGCAAGTTTTTCCAGCCATTTGTTATCTGTCATGGAACTAAAACCTCTGTTTTTTGGGTGTGGCAGACTTTGAAACATGTTACTGCCTTGTCTTTCTCTCTCTCTCTCTCTTTGTCTCTCTCTCACTCTCTCTCCTTCTTTCTTTTCTACTCCATCTCCAAGAGATTGTTGTTGGTGATTTGAGCTTTCCAGCATGCTTGCACTCCAAACATTCCAGGCCACTCGAGCACCAAGGATCTGGCCAGCTCCACACAGCTGGGAGCTATATAAGAGTGTATTGAACATCTTTAACTTGGTCTTGGGCTCTCTATGGCCTGATACAAGAAGGGGAGAGGGGGCGTTCCGCATTCCACTTTCTCTACCGGGGCAAAGTGCCATCCGGATTCCAGTAGGAATACACAGAGAGGTAGAAATTCCAGTGTGCAGATAGAGGGACGTGTCACAACACAAGGCAGGATGAGTGAAGCATGCACACAGCACACATGAGAAGAAATCTGTATGCTAAATACACACATAACATCACACAGAGACAAGTGCTGTTCATTCTTGTTGCCTGTCAGCAGCTGACCTCTGCACACACGCATATACAAACATGAGGAAAACAAACATGTATCTTTTCCCCAAAGAACATGATGTCGGTCTGTGCCGGAGCAATGCAGTTTAGAGACATGGTCATTGTACAGTGTTCTGTCTCCCTCTGTGTTTTTGGCTGCTCTCGCAGTTGTTTTTGAAAGGGGAGAGTCCGTGTGCAAAGAAAGTTGAGGCCAGGACAGCAGGCCAATAGCGAGAGAAAAGAGTGGGAGAGGGAACGGAAGGAGAAAGAAGAGAGTAGATCTTTGGGAAGACTCACAAGGGGTTGTGGGGAAAAGAATCTCGGCAGCATACAAAAAGAGAGTTTGTAAAGGGGAGTGAGAATGAGAGACAATTGTAAACTTTAGTAATGCAGTGAGTAAGTGAACTTTTTGAATAGTCTCACATAGCCGGACTTTTGACTTGCGGTAAAAGTCTGGTCCTTATTGTAGAAGGAGACCAACCATCTGACATGTACAGTGACCAGCCACAGTTTTTCTATTTATGTATTTGGCTGATATCAGAAAACAAGTGTAATATCAGATTCTGCTCATGTATCAAGTTTACTTATTAGTAAGCGCCTCAAGTAAAACGTAACTGATTTTAAATCATGTACGCCCTTCTTTTCAGGGGTAGTGCCAGCCATTTGGAACAGGCGATTTTAGGCAGTGCTTGCCATTTTTGTGAGTTATATGCATTAGACTCTCAGTGAACAGACTGTGTGGTCCGTGGACAAGGTGCCTGAAGCTGAGACTAGATATTGAGAAACTTTGCTAAAAGTCTTATACCCCTTCTCGCCTCTTTTCTATCTTTTTTTTTAACTTGGTTCGTACTCTTTGTCACTCTTTGTCTTGTCCCTGTTTGAGCAAATAGAGTGATACAGAAGCCTTTGGCCATACATGGAAGTACCGCTAATAATGCACACTTGCCAGAAAATAAATTAATAATTAAATGGATGAAGTTTATTTGTTATAATTTAAAAACTATTATAAAATGATAAAATTGTACCTCACTGCTTTGGTTGTAAAACTTTTAGTGGCATTAGCATGTTTCCTGTATACAGACACATGCAGTACATGAGTGACAGTGCTGACAGATGTGAGGACAGGTAGGTGTTATGCTGAAATTGTCCAGTGATAAGGTACACTGCCCCTCCCCCACGCCTTTCCTCACCCTGTCTCCTCCATGCCCTAGTCCAGATTCCCTCACCAGCTCCTACTCTCCGTCAGTCTGTTCATGTGTGTTTGCTTCCATCAATGAAGACTGCAGATAGGGTTGCATATTGCACAACTATTGACACACTTTTGGGGAGTATGAACTCAGTCACCCAAGACTGCTTGCCACTACAGTAATCGCCTCCTGAAATTAGATGTCTGAAGTTTTTCATCTGACAGTATTGTTTTGAATTTTGCAAAGCTTTTTTTTTCATACAATCACTGACAATTTAAAAGAATAATGTTTGAGTGCTGCATGAAGTGATTCTCTCATTTTAACAATACATTCCAAGGTCTGTTGTCTGTGTGGCAGGCATTTTGTTTTTCAAGTCATATTTTGTTGCATGCTAATTTTACATATTTACTCAGGCTGCAATTAATGTACTGCAGGTTTGGTTGCTCTGACAAAACAGTTGACAGATGTTGATTATGTGTCAAGTTTAGTTTTTCTTTTTCATATCATGGCGAACATTTGAAAGAAGAGTAGTAACATTTAAAACAAAATTGTAGAAAAATTTTGCCAATCAAAATAAAAGTAACATACAGTATCTGCAGTGGCATATCCTGGCATAGGGAGTATCTGGTTGATTATATTACGTCAATTCAAGTCAAGTCACCTTTATTTATAGTGCTTTATACAATACTGGTTGTGTCAGAGCAGCTTTAAAATGTCAAACAGGAAAATAGTTTGTCAACAATGCAAGAAGACAATAACAGAGTAATTTTTCCAGCTAAAGTCAGTTCATTGATGATTCAGTGATGTCATCATCCAGTTCCGTTCTCTTCCAATAGTGTCTGTGCAATCTGTCAAGCGTCCCCAACTAAGCAAGCCAAAGGCGACAGTGGCAAAGAACCAAAACTCCATCTGTGACAGAAATGGAGAAAAAACCTTGGGAGAAACCAGGCTCAGTCAGGGGCCCAGTTCTCCTCTGGCCTGGCGAAACCAGCATGGCGTGGTTTAATTCCAGGCTGCAACACAGGTGCAGAGGACTTGTCTGGACGTCGAGGTGATGAGGTCTTCACAGGGGATCTGTTTCTGGGGAGCATCTAGTTGTCATGGTCTCCGCTGACATTCAGGGCAGTAGAGGTCGTCTTTAGGTGCTGATCCACCATCTGATCTGGATACAGACTGGATCCGTATGGCTACAGTGATCTTCGAACAAGAATGAAAGAGACTAATATTAGCATAGATGCCATACTTACGATGTAGCGAGTATTGTACATCGGGTGTTATGGGAAGTGTTCCCGGTTCCGGTTGACCTAATTAATGCAGTCTAACAATCTTTTAACGGATTTGAATGATAGAAATATGATTGTGTGTTATATGTATGCCAAGTTAAAGAGATGGGTCTTTACTTGTTCAGTATGACAAATTGTGTGTGCAACTTCTAGGTGTAATCCAGGTGCTTTGCAAAGAGTAACTGCACAAAAGCAACATGTGAGCATAGATTTAATGCCCCCATATTTAAATGAGACCTATTGCGTGTAATAATTGTGAGTGTGTGTGTCACTGCTTACATGTTAAGGAACAGACAGACAGTTTTAAGCATTTCGACTTTTCTTTTCAAATTACGAGGCTTCTGTCGGAACTGTAGGCCACCAGTCTGATCCAGTCAGTGCAGCATATTTATCAAGTCATGTAACAGTTGCTTTTGGATCACAACACTGTGGCTACAGCAAATGTCCATGTTTCCTTGACTATTTGAGTTCACATATCTCGCATAACTTGAGCCCAAAAAGCAGTGCAAAACATTGTAACTCATTTAAAAATGTTTTCATAAGGCTTGCTTGGGTAGGTGTGGGATTCATGACATGAGTATTAAGAGGCCCTTTTAGCATGCCTATGGTACGCCTTGTGTATATTGTACTGTATGCACTGTATCTGCATGAATGTTTGTGTGTGTGAGTTAATCACTAAAAACCCACTTATCATGACATCTCTGTTTTGTGATATATTTTTTATTTTACATTTGGTGATGAGGTCACTATATAGAGACTAATATTAGCGTAGATGCCATTCTTACGATGTAGCGAGTACATCGGGTGTTATGGGAAGTGTTCCCGGTCCCAGTTGACCTAATTAATGCAGCCTAACAATGCTGTAAAGGGATAATTCACCCTAAAATGAAAATTCTGTCATCATTTACTCACCCTCAAGTTGTTCAAAACCTGTATATATTTCTTTCAGCTGTTGAACACAAAAGAAGATATTTTGAAGAATGTTGGTAACCAAACAGTTGACGGTAGCCATTGACTTCCATAGTATGCAAAAAGGTACTATGGAAGTCAATGGCTACCATCAACTGTGTGGTTACTAGCAATTTTTTAATGTCTTCTTTTAAGTTCAGCAGAAGAACGAAACTCATACAGGTTTGAAACAAGTGGATGGTGAGTAAATGATGACAGAATTTTCATTTTTGGGTGAACTATCCCTTTAACGGATTTGATTATAGAAATATGATTGTATGTTATATGTATGCCAAGTTAAAGAGATGGATCTCCCAAACAATGCTAAGTAGATTGTTCCAGAGTTTGGACGCTAAATAGGAAAAGGATCTGCTGCCCGCAGTTGATTTTGATATTCTAGGTATTATCAAATGGCCAGAGTTTTGAGATCGCAGCAGACGTGAAGGACTATAGTGCAATATGAGCTCGTTCAAGTATTGAGGAGCTAATCCATTCAGGGCTTTATAAGTAATTAGCAAGATTTTAACAGAGCAGCCATCAAGTGTTAGACAGTGTTATAGGTTATTACATGCAGAGGTTTTTGGTCCAATAATTAAAACATCAGTTTTTTCAGAATTTAACAGTAGGAAATTACTAGTCATCCAGTTTTTTTTATCAACTATGCATTCTGTTAGTTTTGCAAATTTGTAGGTTTCATCGGGCTGCAAAGAAATATAGAGCTGAGTGTCATCAGCATAACAGTGAAAGCTAACACCATGTTTCTTGAAAATATCTCCCAAGGGTAACATGAGAAATGTGAAAAGCAACGGTCCTAGTACTGAGCCTTGTGGCACTCTATACTGTACTTGTGATCGATATGATATCTTGTCATTTACTACGACAAATTGATGACGGTCAGATAAGTAAGATTTGAACCATGACAATGCAATTCCACTAATGTCAACATAATTTTGTAGTCTGCTCAAAGAATCGTGTGGTCGATAGTGTCAAATGCAGCACTAAGATCCAGTAGCACTAATAGAGAAATACAACCACGTTCGGATGATAAGAGCAGGTCATTTGTAACTCTGATGAGAGCAGTCTCAGTACTATGATAGAGTCTAATTCCTGACTGGAATCCTCAGAGATACCATTTCTCTCTAAGAAGGAACAAAGCTGAGAGGATACTGCCTCTTCTAGTATTTCTGACAGAAAAGGGAGATTTGAGATCGGTCTGTAATTAACTAATTCTTTAGGATCAAGTTGTGTTTTTTTAATGAGACGCTTAATAACAGCCAATTTGAAGGGTTTAGGGACATATCCTAAAGACATTGATGAATTAATAATATTCAGAAGAGGATCTATGACTTCTGGAAGCACCTCTTTTAGTAGCTTAGATGAAATAGGGTCTAACATATTGTACATGTAGTAGGTTTTGATGATTTGACAAGTTTATACAATTCTTCCTGTCCTATTGCAGAGAATGAGTGGAAATGTTCCTCAGGAACATCTAGTGCACTATCTGATGCGATACTGTGGCAGATCTAGCAGTTTTTAGAGCTTTTCTATAAGTAGAAGTACTTTCCCGCCATGCAATACGAAATACCTAGTTTTGTTTTCTTCCAGCTGCGCTCCATTTTCCAGGCTGCTATCTTTAAGATGCAAGTGTGCTCGTTATACCGTGGTGTCTGACTGTTTTCCTTAAAACGTAATATATTATCTCTAAAAAAACAATGGAGCAGTGTTTTGACATTGGAATCAGTGCTTTTGAACAAATTGTTGAGGGAATCATTGAATAACTCATGCATGAAGATGGCCCCTTGTTTAATTCTTGACTAATTGGATACTTTTTAAAATCAAAAATAGGTATACAGTACATGTGTCTTGCTCTTCTACAGAAGTACTTCCATGTACTTGTTGTAACCATTCATAATGTCAGTGTTGTAGTTCCAGAAATGTATTAAATTCAAAAAGCCTGTCAGCAGCAGAGCTCATCATTAGTTTTGCATAATCAATATAATCCTTTTAGTGCAGCCTATGGTTTATATGTGGTTTAGGAGCTTTGGGCTCTGATTTACCGAAATGTAAAGAGGGTAGTAATTTGCTTGTTCAGTATGACAGATTGTATGTGCAACTTCTAGGTGTAATCCAGGTGCTTTGCAAAGAGTAACTGCACAAAAGCAACATGTGAGCATAGATTTGATGCCCCCATATTTATGTAAATGAGGCCTATTGCATGTAATAATTGTGAGTGCTTACATGTTAAGGAACAGACAGACAGTTTTAAACATTTTGACTTTTCTTTTCAAATTAAGAGGCTTCCGTAGGGTCTGTAGGTCACCAGTTTGATCCAGTCAGTGCAGCATATTTATCAAGTCATGTAACAGTTGCTTTTTGACCACAACACTGTGGCTACAGCAAATGTCCATGTTTCCTTGACTATTTGAGACTAAAAGCAGTGCAAAACATTGTAACTCATTTAAAAATGTTTTCATAAGGCTTGCTTGGGTAGGTGTGGGATTCATTAAATGAGTATTAAGAGGCTCTTTTAGTATGCCTATGGTACACCTTGAGTGTATTGTACTGTATGCACTGTATCTGCATGAATGTCTGTGTGTGAGAGAGAGTTAATCACTAAAAACCCACTTATCATGACGTCTCTATTTTGTGATACAGAAGAGGATCTATGACTTCTGGAAGCACCTCTTTTAGTAGCTTAGATGAAATAGGGTCTAACATATTGTACATGTAGTAGGTTTTGATGATTTGACAAGTTTATACAATTCTTCCTGTCCTATTGCAGAGAATGAGTGGAAATGTTCCTCAGGAACATCTAGTGCACTATCTGATGCGATACTGTGGCAGATCTAGCAGTTTTTAGAGCTTTTCTATAAGTAGAAGTACTTTCCCGCCATGCAATACGAAATACCTAGTTTTGTTTTCTTCCAGCTGCGCTCCATTTTCCAGGCTGCTATCTTTAAGATGCAAGTGTGCTCGTTATACCGTGGTGTCTGACTGTTTTCCTTAAAACGTAATATATTATCTCTAAAAAAACAATGGAGCAGTGTTTTGACATTGGAATCAGTGCTTTTGAACAAATTGTTGAGGGAATCATTGAATAACTCATGCATGAAGATGGCCCCTTGTTTAATTCTTGACTAATTGGATACTTTTTAAAATCAAAAATAGGTATACAGTACATGTGTCTTGCTCTTCTACAGAAGTACTTCCATGTACTTGTTGTAACCATTCATAATGTCAGTGTTGTAGTTCCAGAAATGTATTAAATTCAAAAAGCCTGTCAGCAGCAGAGCTCATCATTAGTTTTGCATAATCAATATAATCCTTTTAGTGCAGCCTATGGTTTATATGTGGTTTAGGAGCTTTGGGCTCTGATTTACCGAAATGTAAAGAGGGTAGTAATTTGCTTGTTCAGTATGACAGATTGTATGTGCAACTTCTAGGTGTAATCCAGGTGCTTTGCAAAGAGTAACTGCACAAAAGCAACATGTGAGCATAGATTTGATGCCCCCATATTTATGTAAATGAGGCCTATTGCATGTAATAATTGTGAGTGCTTACATGTTAAGGAACAGACAGACAGTTTTAAACATTTTGACTTTTCTTTTCAAATTAAGAGGCTTCCGTAGGGTCTGTAGGTCACCAGTTTGATCCAGTCAGTGCAGCATATTTATCAAGTCATGTAACAGTTGCTTTTTGACCACAACACTGTGGCTACAGCAAATGTCCATGTTTCCTTGACTATTTGAGACTAAAAGCAGTGCAAAACATTGTAACTCATTTAAAAATGTTTTCATAAGGCTTGCTTGGGTAGGTGTGGGATTCATTAAATGAGTATTAAGAGGCTCTTTTAGTATGCCTATGGTACACCTTGAGTGTATTGTACTGTATGCACTGTATCTGCATGAATGTCTGTGTGTGAGAGAGAGTTAATCACTAAAAACCCACTTATCATGACGTCTCTATTTTGTGATATATTCTTTATTTTACATTTGGTGATGAGGTCACTATATAGTTTCTGATTTACAGAGTGCAGGAAGACACACATATGCACACAGTGTAGAATATATTAATGAAATAACTTTCACATCTTTTCCTTTTTGTACAGTAGATGCAAATGCAATCTGACCCGTTGACCTGGCAGTGCCTGAAAGCCACATTCCAAAATAGCACACCCAACATGATCTGTGATCCCATAAAAATTATATACAGTAGTAGTCATCAAACACACAAAATGAGTCATCAGGAAAACCCTGAACCGCTGGGAGTGGCTGGTGTGGCATTTTGTGCAGAACACCCACAACCCGAAACTGGCTGCTGCTGCTGTAATTCCTCCAATAATGAAGCACACAAGACAAGAAGAGTCCCTTGTACAGTGGCACACAATGCAGCTCACTGTATTGTCATCCAAGACATAACAGATTGCTTTCATATGAGGTTTTCTCTATACTGCACATACAAATGTATGATGTCATTGCATGATATAACAATAGCAAACCTAGTGGCATAAATATAATACAACACAAACTTTTCAAGACTACATTTCACAAAAATAAGTCTGTTTTAAATGATAAAACAATAGATATATTTTTAAGTCTGCCTTGACTTTAGTGTCCAAAAAGTGCTGCTGCATACTGTATTTGCAGGTACTGTGCTGGGCGGTACTAATAATAATTGTACTTCATTACTATAATTGTAATTGGGGAGTGTTCAGGAAACCTGCTTACAGTCAAACAATCATTATTTTTAATGTTTCTAGTGGCACAGAAACTGCACACTTAATTATATTTCCAAGGAGGGAAAAAATATACCTTTAATTTCATTTAGACCTTGGCTTGAAAAGTACATATTCTGCAGAAAGTCTATTCCATGTTAAATGTGCCTAAAATTACTAAAAATGACCAACAAGTCTATTCCAGGCTAAACTGACTTTAATGAGGAAGTCTCCTCTGTCATTTGAATGCATGAGTCAGTTTATAAAGCCAAACATTAATATTTAATACTACAGGTACAAGTAAACATACACTTTTTTACTTTCGCTCAAGTACATTTTTGGTTATATATTTATAAGTATAATTTGAGTAAAGCTTTTTATGCAGTACACATAACGTAATTTAATGCAGGTACAGTTTCTCTGTACTTTTTTGACCCCTGGCAAGTACACATTTGTTAACCCAATTTGTCTTGTCAGTAGAGCAGGTTTTATTGTTGAGTCTGTTAAAATTAACATGACAGGGTGTGGACTGGCATCTCGCTGTACCACTGTACCGCAGTCCTTCACAATCATTATGTGATCAGTACATTAGCATATGCCAATGTCAGTGGTACTGCTTGTTCTAGAGCTAACAATTGATCATAGTGTTTTATTTTCACAGTAAACATTATTTATTAAAAAAATAAAAGGCTGAAAAAGTTTTTAATTAAAACTCTATGCAGTTTTGCTATGTTGTGATGGTAATGACGCGTGATCGGTTACTGTTGGAGAATAAGAACCTAATGTGACAGGCACAGAAATAACACCAATATAGATTTTTCCAGTGCTTTTCAGAGATGCTGTTTTAAGTATTCAGCAGGTTGCCAGACAGTCAATTTGTTGTGTGTACATTGTGTTTGTTTCCATATTCTATTAGCTTTTGTCATTGATTGTGTTCTGTGTACACAATAGTTCTTTTTGGTAACGATGTGTATATTTCTGGAACTAATTTTATTTATTTATTCCTCTTATCCCAGTTTCAAACAGTCTATGGAAATACATTCCAAGGCTTTACATTTACCAGCTATCTCAACAACATCCCTTCCTGTTCTCTCTGAAAACCCTTTGCCCAAAACAGAGAGAGAGAAATGAGGAGTGACAGAGAAAAACGCGAGACTATGAAACAACATCACAGCAGCAAAAGGGCTTTTAAGGTTTAGTGGTTTGTTTTCAGGTTCAGCTCCCAGCAGAATAAGAGCAGTGCTGTATAACTTCCTCATTCCCCCGGCGGTGGACAGCCAGGTTCCGATTTGTCCTGTGGTGCTTCAGAGATGTTTGCTTTGGAATGTTAACATATATAATTAACTTGCTGATCAAATGTGCCTATCCTCCTGTACTCTGCAACATTTTTCTAATGTCACGTTATACTGGTTTTCCATTTGCTTACTATAAACTAGATGCGTTCTACTAGGTGTGCCACATAATTACTTCTTGTGTATTCATATTTTATGCACACCAACATGCACCTGAAAAAATCATGTGCCAAACAAAACCTGTTTTAATGTTTATTGTTGTTACAGTTTCTTAACTGCACCCCACTGACAAGATTTGCATGATATTCCAAGATGGTTGATTGTTTTGGATTAAACTAGCAGGTTCAATCCGGCACAGCCCATGCTGATGACAGTTAATCTAGTTTCCCAAGGTGAATATACTGGTTAAGCTAGTGAGGCTATTTGGGGTTGAGTTGTGCAGGATGCATTACATGATGACTTCTACTTTTCTTCACTTTGCTTTTATTTCGAATAATGGTATGAATTTAACATATTCAATCCAAAGTATTCAGAGGAAAGTTTTACCATTATATATTCCCCCATCTTATTCATTTGAAGTAATCAATGAAATATTCTTGACAAATACAGCCTGAGGTGTATCTATACATACACGTGTGATGGTCAGCATAGTCTCATCCTGATGTCTGACTGGAACTAAAACAAATGATCAGACAGCACTGAGAAATTTCATTCCATACATAACATCAGTGAGTGATGGGCTAAACGAGTAAATCATTTGGTTAATTATTTGCAAAAAAGTATATTTTAATGTCTGTTCCCTTAACGTAATCCCCTTAAACCTGTGGATAAAAACAAACTAAAATGGTTTGTCTTTGTATGACTACAGCTTTTCGGACTGCAGCTTCAAATGAACATTATTTCAGAAAAGCAGTCATTTGACTTGAGGCTAATCACACTGTTCTTTAAATTCAACTGGGTGTATAATCAACTGGTAATGATGTCACTGACATGTTATGAAGCTTAAGGAAAAAAAGAAGGGTCCACATCTCCTGAAAAGTGGACTTGATATGCCTTTCATTATCTTTTTTGTGTCCCGTGTTTTTTTTTCTTTCAAAAAACATCCCCTCTGAGTCATAACGGTCATTATAGTCTCAAATTTCAACCTATATGTACAAAATTATATTACTCAATTAATTCAAGCCGAAGTTTGGTTCTCTTGAAGGAAGCTCAGTGTTGCCCTGTGATTGAACAGCTGAGTAAAGGCTTAATGAGATTAGCCTCTTCATTTGAGTGGGTTCTGCTTAAAGATGTTCACATTTAAAACATGAGTTACATCCTGCTAAGAGGGGCAGCATGTCTGTCTCCTTTTCTACTATAAGATTTGATGTTATGGTAATAGTAAAGACATGAACCACGAGGCTGCGGTTATCAAAATCACATCTGACTCACAATGTCTTACATGTTATGGGATAAGCACATAAGGCCTGTAGTAGCTCAGAATGGTTGTAAAATCACTTATCATCTAACGTTAGACAAATCATCTAATTTCCACTGGGAAAAAAACAAAACAGATATTAACCAATTGCAGATTTAGAGCAGTGTCTGTCAGTGGCTTACTTGAAGGTATTATTAATAACCCCATCCTAATGAGGGCTGGTGAGTTAGACTTGAGTGAAGCCTAGAGCAAGGCTAAGCTCACTCCATCTTCATCAAAACAGCTTTGTCACTGAAGAATGCAGGAAAACCTCCTCAAAGCCATCTTACTCTCTCCTCTGTCATTTCTTCAAGCCTGTTGTTTGCAATAGGATGGAGGGGTGTAGTTACCGTCAAACAAACAACAGCACCACTGCATTCTCTAGTCTAGAGTATTGGGTGGAGGAGTTGTGTTTGGGAGGTGGTTTTGCCATTGGATATATCAAATGAGTGCTGGACTCCACTTTGTGTTTGTAGTTGGGCTGGGTATCGATACAGATTTCGCTATTCAATTCTGATTAATTTAGGGTACGTTTCGGTTAAAATGCTTACAAATTATAGAAATTCTTACTGCGATGGTGCTGCATATTATACAGTGTTTCAGATGTTTTTCAAAGTGCTAACTTGTCAAGAACTGGCTCACGAGAGTTGTTTGTTAATGAATCAAGACACATTGGTCACACTGTATGTCTTTTGATTCACTAAAAAGAACTGGCTCATTAGAGATGTTTGTTAATAATTGAGCCACACTGTTTGCAATGTATGTTTTTTATTTAACAAAAAGAACCGTCTCATTAGAATCATTAGTTAATTAACCAGGCCAAACTATGCCTTATGAGAGTCGTGTGTTAATGAATTAGGCTACACTGGTCGTGTTGAATGTTTTTGATTCATTAAAAAGAAACAAGGCTCGTTTGAGATCCACTTAGCTTTGCCTTAAAAGTAGAAAAGTGTAGATGACTGCAGTGAGGGGAGGAGTGAAGCAAATGCAGACGAGACAGTTCTGATTTCTCATAGCGGATCTGACATCTACAATACAAGATAAAAGGTGGATATTGCATGATTCATTCTTATATACTTTGTTGCCATTTTTAGTTTGATAAAGACACATATTTTAAATATATGACAAC